TAGACCTGGTGACGTTGTTGACTGGTGTTCTTGGTGAGTCTCTCTGAACTTGGCTTCCCATGTAAGGCTGTTTCATTGCCGGTAACGGCACTATTCCCAAGTCTAGAGAAAAGAGACAGCCCTAGGACCCTTCTCTCAGTTACGAAGATGCGCACGTGTGTGTGTGTGATGTATGGGGTGTGTCTGTGGCCATGTGTGTGTGTGTGATGTGTATGTCTGTGTGTGTGGTGTGTATGTGTGTGTGGTGCATACATATGTGTGTTTGAGTATGTGTGTGTGGTGTGTGTATGTGTATGGTGTGTATGTGTGATATGTATGCATATGTGTGTGGTGTATATGTGAGTGTGTGGTGTGTGTGCATATCTGGTGTATATGTGTGTGTGCATGATGTGTATGTGCATGCATGAGCACATTGAGTGTTTATGGTATATGTGTGTGGTGTGTATTGTGTGTAAGTCTGTGTGGTGTGGTGTGGTGTGTGTGTGTGTGTGTGTGTGTGTGTATGCGTATATGTGTATAGGGGAATGGAGTCTGACACTCTAAACTGGAATGACTGTCTTGGGACACACACACCGAGATTAGACATGAGAACATTGTCAGGCATGAAGTAGCAGGGTGTAAAATGACAGGCTGTGATGAGTGGGGAGAGACATTCCCCCACCTTCTGTATTGGAAAATTTCAAATATGTACAGAGACAGAGAAAAGAATATAATACCATCTCCATGAAGTCCACTACCCAGCTTCACCAATAACACACGTATAATCTTGCTTTTTCAACCCCCTGTCCTGTTATTTTGGTACAAGTTCAAGATACTGCATATTTTTATTTTTATCCTTTTCTTCCACTTCTTATTCCTCTCTAATGTCTCATATATCCCGGGCTGACCTCAAATGCAATGTGAGGGCGACCTTGAGCTGAACTTTTTAACTCAACTTCCTAAGTGTGGGGATGAGTGTGTGCACCTATGCCGCTGGACTGAACCCAGGCTTTGTGCATGTTAGGTGAGCACTTTACCTGCTAAACTGCCATCTTAGCCCAACCTAAATATTTGGGATTCTCTCTCTCTCTCTCTCTCTCTCTCTCTCTCTCTCTCTCAGACAGGGTCTGTGGCAGTTTGAATAAGAATAAACCCCATAGGCTCATATATCTGAATGCTGGTTCCTCAGTTGGTGACTATTTAGGAAGGATTAAGAATTAAGAAGTGTGACCTTGGAGGAGGTGTGTCACTGGGGGTGGGCTCTGAGGATTCAAAAGCCCATGCCAGACCCAGTCTCTTTGTCTCTTCCTCTGACTTAAGGATAAGATGTGAGCTCTCAGCTACAGCCTGCCTGTTACCGTGCTTCCCACTGTGATGATCATGGGCTGACCTCACAGTGTAAGCAAGCCCCCAATTAAATGATTGTATAAGTTGCCTTATTCATAGTATCTCTTCACAGCAATAGAAAAGTAACTAAGACAGGGTCTCACTATGTTTTGTCACAGGCTGGCCTTGAACTTGTAGCCACTTGCATCAGAATCTCAAACTGCCACTATACCTTGCCTTACTTCAGTATCTTGAAAAGATAAAGTATACTTCCTTTATATTAAGTTTTTCGAGACCAGGTTTCTCCGTAGCTTTGGAGTCTGTCCTGGAACTAGCTCTTGTAGACCAGGCTGGCCTTGAATTCACAGAGATTCACCTACCTTTGCCTCCCAAGTGCTGGAATTAAAGGTGTGCGCCACCACTGCCTGGTTCTCATTGTGTGTTCTTAACCCTGCAACTTGTTTGACTATTAGTCTAGCTATCTGGTACCTGTGTCTTAGCTACTGCATCTATAGGGCCCTTCTCATTTAAACTGTCACGCTGTATCAGCTCAGGATATGCAGAACTGCCTCTTTCTTTTAGGAAGTGTTTTAATATCCCATTTTTGAAAGTGCCATAAGTCCTGAGATGATGGGCCTTCGGGATGCTGGCAGTCCTTTGATACCAAAACAAGGCCCAAAATGGATGGAACTATTAAAAAAAAAGCATCCCGGGTGAGGATACCCATACCCAGACAGAAAACATGATGTGTACTCACTCATAAATAGATAGTAGATGTAAAGAAAAGGAAAACCAGTTCACAATCTACAACCCCCAGAAGCTAAGTAAGAAGAAGTACACTAAGAGAGATATGCATGGATGCCCCTGGGTAAGGGAAATAAATAAAATCTCCTGAGTAAATTCGAAATGTGGGGATGGGGTAGAGGAGGGAGGGTAAAGGGGAGGCAGAGGATGGTGAGGGAGAATTGTTTGTATTCTGTCAATCATGTTTTAAATAAATGCTGATTGGCCAGGCAGGAGGTGTAGGTGGGAAAACCAGACAGGAAGTGGAAATGATGCAAAGAGAGCAGGAGAATTCTGGGGAGGAAGAAGTTGAGTCCTCCCACTCCTGCCCAGATCACCGAAGCAGCAGGATGTGAGCTGCCCCACTGAAAAAGGTACTGAGCCACATGGCTAACGTAGATCAGAAAAAAGGGTTAATCAAGATGTGAGAGTTAGCTAATAAGTAGCCTGACTTAATGGGCCAATCAGCTTTATAACTTACAGACATCTCTGTGTGGTTGATTTTCTCTGGGGCCTGCCGGCTGGGGGACAAGGCAGAACAGAAAACCCAAATAACAAACAGGCCCCCCCTATGTTACAAGAGGAGAACATCAGGGAATTGGAATGGTTGAATTGGGGGAGGGGTACAGAGGGAGAGCAAGGAAAGAGATACCTTGATAGAGGGAGCCATGATGGGGTTAGGGAGAAACATAGCGCTAGGGAAACTCCCAGGAATCCACAAGGACGACCCCAGCTAGGACTCCTAGCAGTAGTGGAGAGGGGGCCTGAACTGGTCTTCCCCAGTAGACAGATTGGTGGACACTCTAACTGTCATCATAGAGCCTTCATCCAGCAACTAACTGATGGAAGCAGATACAGAGATCCACAGTTAAGCACTGAGCCGAGCTCCCAGAGAGCAGTCAAAGAGAGGGAGGAGGGATTAGATGAGCAAAGGGGTCAAGATCATGATAGAGAAACCCACAGAGACAGCTGACCCGAGCTAGTGGGAGCTCAGGAACTCTGGCCTGAGAGCTGGGGAACCTGTATAGGACCGAACTAGGTTCTCTGAATGTGGGTGACAGTTGTGCGGCTTAGCAGTCTGTGGGGTCACTGGCAATGGGACCAGAATTAATCCCCAGTGCATGAACTGACATTTTGGAGCCCATTTCCTATGGAGGGGTACCTTGCTGAACCTCGATACAGGGTGGAGGGACTTGGGCCTGCCTCACCTTGATAAGCCAGACCCTTGTTGACTCCCCATGGGAAACCTTATCCATTCTGAAGAGTAGCTGGGGAGTCCGGTGGGGGGGATGGTGAGAGGGAGCGGGAGAAGGGGAGGGATGCTGAACTGTGGTTGGTATGTAAAATGGGAAAACCCTTTAAATAAAAAAAAAAATTAACAAAAAAAAAACAAGGCCAAGAATATTTGTGGATTCAGCTCTTGCACGCCCAGTTGCGAGGATTTTGTACTCTTGCATTTTGGCACACATTCCCTCTTTGACACCAAGAAGTGCCCTGAAGTGCTTTGTGGCTTCTGAGCCTTCGAAGTCCTCCCCCGGTTTGTCACTCATCTGTGCTGTCACTTCCTGCCTCCGCTGTGCAGCCTGTCCTCTTGTCCTGTTCCCACTGCTGCGGTCCTTCCTCCTCTTTTTTGTTGTTTGTTTTCTGTTTTCCCACCAGGGTGCTTGCTGTTAACTCAGGTGTATTTCACTTACTCCGACATGTAGAAATTCTCAGATGAGCATGGAATCTTCCCCTTTCCCCCTCCCTATTTTTGAAGACAGGTTCTCATTGTAACCCCAGGCGGCCCTCAAAGTCTCCATCCTGCCCCAGCTTCCCAAGTGCTGGGATTGCAGACGTGCACCGCCATGTCTGTCTAGTGGAATCACTCTTATTAAATGCTTCCAGGCTTATCTTGCTACCTATAATTTAATGAAGCCCCATCTCCCCAGCCTATCTACTCCCCAAGTTGTCAATTCTCATTCATTTTTCACAAGCCTCGGGCTTCCCTGAAGGTTGGCTTACTTAGGGCCAGGTCACTTGCTCCTCCCTCTAATTGCTGGCTCATCCTAGAGAGTAAACTCAAACCTCGCGTCGTTCAGAATTCACACACTGTGAGAACCACACTAGTTCTGGATATATGAATCTGGGTTTTCTTTTGGGAGATGCCATTCTCACCATCTCCTACCCTTCCTCTTTCTGGATCTTGCTTAGTATTTAAGGATGGCTGAACTCCGGGTCCTCCTTCTTAAATGCTGGGATCAATCACAGGATCACCATGTTCAGCATTAAAAACTCTTTTTAAGACTTAGATGTGTATTACAGGCTTGTCCATGCTAGCTCCTAGACAAGAGTTTTAAATGTTTTCTTTATTATTTATTATGTATACAGTATTCTACCTGCATGTACACCTGCAGGCCAGAAGAGGGCATCAGATTTCATTACAGATGGTTGTGAGCCACCATGTGGTTGCTGGGAATTGAACTCAGGACTTTTGGAAGAGCAGACAGAGATCTTAATCTCTGAGCCATCTCTCCAGCCCCTAGACAAGAGTTTTAACACCGAAATTTTTTCATCCGTTAAGACACATACTGTAGAAGTGTGTTTATGAGGATTGGGGATAGTGAACACCCATTAGGCACTGAAGGCAAGTCTGTTTATTTCTGTGGTAGTCACCATCAGCGCCAGTTCCACATTTGTTGGCTACATTCTTTTTGTGTAACAGACTATGTACCAGACTGTTTGACCACCATGCTGCAAGCTGACTGTGGCAGGTTCACTACTCACCCCTAAAACTTCCAGCTCTGACACAGGGGCAGCGCAGTAGGAGGTCAGAGTGGAGAAGGCAGGGAGAGCACAGACCAGCACACTCAGTGTTCAGAGGGGGCGGGGCTTCGCGCAAGACCACGCCCTGTCCGTCGACGAACGCGCTCCGCCTGCCCAGTCTGCTCTCGGGGAAGGGATCGGCGCTGCCACGCGGGGAGCGCGCTCTCCGGCCCGGCTGCGGCATGCGCGCGCTGCTCGGCCTGCTCCTGGTATTCGGCTGCTGCACCTTCGCGCTGTACCTTCTGTCCACGCAGCTGCCCGCGGGGCCGAGGCTGGCGTCGGCCGAGGAGCCCCAAGGCCGGTGAGTGCGAGCGCGCGGGCCGGCGGCTGGGGCAGAGGTCGGAGAGTTGCCAGTGATGCGCGGGGCGACCTTGGCGCTTCTCTGCACGCTCGGTCGCCGCCTCCCAGCCGCAGCCACCTCGGCCACCGTGGCTCTCCTACCTCAACCCACTTTACCACACCAGCCAATCTTGAGAGGCGCAGCCCGGACTTGGGGTTATGAGGCTGTGATCCGGTCTGGCCTCTTCCTGCCTGACTGCTCCCCATGACAGCCGAGCGAGTCAGGAGGCGTCCAGAGGCGGCCGCAGACTCAAGGGGCGGGTTGCCCGATTGCTGCATACTACTTACAAAGTGCATGAAATATGCCTGGCGTGTTGCCACATTATCAAGAGGCTCAATTGGTATTTGAGTTGCAGGACAGCTGTTCTCAGTCATTGTCTCTTACCGGAACTGAAAGAGCTTTCTTGTGAATGTCAGAGGTACTCGGGAGAACTAGGAGGGGTTGCTTACAATTTATCTCTACTGGAGTGTTGAGATGGCAGAGGCAGGGTAGTCTTTGTACTGTGACCCTTGGACCGGATTCACAATGCTCCAGGCCTAGAGCCGGGTGAAAAGGGAGGCTCTTGGGAAGGATTGGCTGCAAGCCTGCCATCTTATCAAGAAAGCTGTATTTATGATGTGAGATAGATAAAATTGAAACTTGTTTCTGCCTAGTACGTCTGGGGCAACACGGCGTCTAAAGAGTTCTGAGCTTGCTGGGGAGGGGTATCCTTGAAAGGCAGGCAATTTAGGATGCCCAGGACTTGCCTGGAAATGCATATACCTGCCTCTTTGGACTAGATCAAAGAGACTAGAACCCAGTGATGAGATCATGCTCTGGGTGGGAGAGGCTGCTGAATTCCATCTTACACCGTCTGAGTAAGTAAAGAGGGAATTCAGCGATTATCCAGCACCAGACCCTTTTTAGGCGAGGAAAATGAGACCCATGAACACTACAAGGTCACACAACTGGAACACAGCAGAATGGGGATGCCCGTTCAGGTCTCTTACTCCCAAGTCAGGGCTCTCCTATCGGCCTGTGTTGTGTTATACTGGGTCACCTGTCATCTCGAGTTCTTCTTTGTATGTATTCCCAGATGGCCAGATTACATGTTTATAACTTACTCTAGAAAGAATGCACTAACTTTCTTAGGCACCAGGCTTCTCTGGAACCCATGTTTCCATCTGATTTTCCAATCCCTAGGTCGCTGTGGTTCCCCTCAGATCTAGCCGAGCTGCGGGAGCTCTCCGAGGTCCTTAGAGAGTACCGGAAGGAGCACCAGGCCTATGTGTTCCTGCTCTTCTGCAGTGCCTACCTCTACAAACAGGGCTTTGCCATCCCTGGCTCCAGTTTCCTGGTCAGTGTCTTGCCTTCTTTCCAACCGGCTTCCTCTTCTGTAAAATGTGGCCACTCCCCCAGGCAACCCTTTGGTTGTGGGGCTGGATGAAATGAAACATGAGCTCGGAGAGGCTGGCACAAGTGGGCACTTAGCACGTAGTGATGCTCCAAGCTTCCCATTGTCCTGCTCCCCTCTCCTCTCCCAGCACAGTTTCCTACTACCGACTTAACTTAGATCTACCCAAGCAGATTGGGGGTTGGAAACGGGAAGAAAAGCAAACATGTCTGAGAGAGGGAGCTGGACGGTGGAGGTCAGGGCCGACCTGGGACTGACTTCCCCCTTGAGCTGATCCTGCTTCAGGACAAAAAAAGAGCTAGCTGCTACTTGGTGCTATAGAGTGTGGGCTAGTAAGGGCTGCGTACCCGGATTGGGGTGCATTTTAATGCTGCCTAATGTGATCTTGGTTGTGCGGCTGTCTCTCCCCGTAGGATGGGGTAGGGGTAGCACAACACAGAGGTCTATTGAGGACTACTTAGGACATATGTATGTGTACGTATGTACGCCAAGTATGTATTGCAGCCACAGCCTCACTGCCAAGGTCCCCTCTTGCCTGTTTGCTTACTTTAGCTCACTCGTTCATTTACTCACTTGCTCACGCTTTTTAAAAGATTGGTTTATGTGTACGTGTGTGTATGTGCATATATGTATAGGTACCCTTGGAGGTCAGAAGAGGGTACCAGATCTCCTGGAGCTGGTGTTACAGACGGTTGTCGGCCACCCAGCGTGGGTGCTGGGACCCAAACACTGGTCCTCCACTCTAGCAGGCAGCATTGTCAGCCGCTGAGCCAACTGTCCAGCTCATGCTTTGAGACGAGGTCTCACTCTGTAGCGCAGACTGGTTTGGAACTCATATGCTAGCCCAGGCTGGCCTTGAAATCAAAACAATCCTCCTGCCTCAGCCTCCCAAGTGCTGGGGTCACAGGCGTGTGCCAGCACACTTGCCTTTTCCCATGTGCTTTCTCCCAGATCCTGTGCTATAAGGCAGGGTGGTATTCACCAGCCAAATTGCACTTGGGAAGTATTTTTTTTAAAGATTTATTTAGTATGTATACAGTGTTCTGTCTTCATATATGCATGCAGGCCAGAAGAGAGCACCAGATTTCATTACAGACGGTTGTGAGACACCATGTGGTTGCTGGGATTTGAACTCAGGACCTCGAGGAAGAGCAACCAGTGCTCTTAACCTCTGAGCCATCTCTCCAACCCCTGCATTTGGGAAGTATTGATTAACTTTTCCATCTTTGTGAAGCTAAGGCTTTATAGGTCAATTAGGACTGTGGCCAACATAGAAGGGCAGCGTGAGTTTACTAATCAGGTGAAAAGCCAAGAAGACATCTTGCTCGGATTGCCGAAGGTCCATTCGCGGTCTGCCCAATAGTAAGAATAGCCTGTGAGCTTCACTTTCCCTTTTTGGTGCCCCAGTGACTGTGGGGGTAACTGTAGCCCTTGCCACAGCCAGGTAATGTCTGCACCTAATCTCCTTTTCAACTTGCCAATGCCCACTGAGGTCTCGGCCTTGCCCTTAAGGTGAGGCTTATGTTCCATGTTTCCATTTTTCTAAAATTGGCCTTGGGTTTTGGCTGTGAAAATCTCTGAAAGTAAGGGAGCCAATGCACAGGCTCCAGTACAGGTCACTGACAGCGGCTAGATGTTCTCATGGCCGAGGTCTTGCTTTCTTTGCAGAATGTTTTGGCTGGTGCCTTGTTTGGGCCATGGCTGGGACTTTTGCTGTGCTGTGTGCTGACGTCGGTGGGTGCCACATGCTGCTACCTGCTTTCCAGTATTTTTGGCAAACAGCTGGTCATCTCCTACTTTCCTGATAAAGTTGCCCTGCTGCAGAGGAAGGTAAGATGGGGGCACACCTGGATGCTGGTCCCTGAGCATCAGCTCATGGTCTGAGAAGAGCGAGAAGCAGGGGTTTCCCACAGTGCCCCTTCACCCTGCCTGGGAGCTGGGAAAGGTTCATTTGATGTCTTTCGGAAGCAGAGACCCGTGATCAAATCCCAGTTCCATTCTTGTCCTTACTTGCTCTCTAGCTTTGAGTTGAGCGTCTGACCTCCCTGATTCTCAGCTATTTAGTTAACTTTGGGTGTGTATGTGTGTTGGTGTGTGTGCGTATACATGAGCTTGTGTATGTGTGAGTGCATCTGACAGTCTTTCACTGAGCCCAGAGCTCACTGATTTGGCGGACTGGTTGGGCAGCAAACCTCATGGATCCTCCTGTCTCTGCTTCCAGCACTGGCATCCCAGGCTTGTGCCACGCCCCAGGCTTATTTTTATTTGACATTGGTACTGGTGATCAAATGTGGATCCTTATGCTGACAGGGCACACATTTTACTGTCTGCACTATCTCCCCAGCCCAGTTTGTTTTTAATTTTAAAGAATCGTTTAAGTTTTTTTAAGATTTATATTTATTTATCTATTTATTTGATGCACTTTGGGGTTTTGCCTGCGTGTATGTCTGTGTGGTGATGTCAGAACTGGAGTTACAGACAGTTGTGAGCTGCCATGTGGGTGCTGAGAATTGAACCCTGGTCTTTTGGAAGAACAGCCAGTGCTCTTAACCACTAAGGCCATCTCTCCAGTCCTTCCCCCCCACCCCCCAGTTTTTGTTTTTATTGAGACAAGATCTCATGCATAACTCAGGTTAGCTTCAACCTTGTGGGAGTCCTCCTGTTTCAGCCTCCTGAGTTTCTGAGTGCTGGGATTAGCTGTGTTTTCAAAATGGGAACTTGGGAGGAGCTGGGAAGAAGCCTTCTGCTCCTGACGGCGGGCTCTCTCTGCAGGTGGAGGAGAATAGAAACAGCCTGTTCTTTTTCCTGCTGTTCCTCAGACTCTTCCCCATGACACCGAACTGGTTCTTGAACCTGTCGGCCCCGATCCTGAACATCCCCATTGTGCAGTTTTTCTTCTCCGTGCTCATCGGTAAGGTGGGGGGAGGGGTGCTGGTGGAGGCCCTGCCCTCCATCACCTGCCACCTGGCCATACGCTTGCCCACCAGCAGCATCTCCAGACCTGCCCCTTGACACACCCTTCTCTGATACCAGACCTCTTCTGACTTGAACATGAAACCCATACAATGCTTTTAGAACAACTAAGGGTTGTTCATTCCATGGCCAAACTCAGTACTTCTTATGTGCCCAGTACGTGCTGGGCCCTGGGATTGAACAGGATCATCTCTGTAAACTACATGACTTGGCTCCGAGAAGTGCTAGCAGGCTGAAGGGCCGGTGCAGAGCAAGGGAGTTCCTTTCTGGCACCGGCCGCTTTGACTAAGGGGTCTTAGAGAGGGCTGGCATCAGAGAGGCTTCTATCTCTCTTCTGAGAACAGTATGACCGTATTTCCCCTCAGGAAATCACTGAGCTGGATCTGAGCTGGGGTTAGGAGCAGTGTTTCTTGAAGTGTGGGCTTCAGGTTAGAGTGACCACACCCCACCCATCCATCTGTGAGTGTTACCTTCTCACGGCGGTAAGCTACCACCCTCCTTAAGCCAGGGGCAGAGATGCTCAGACCTTTCTTAGAGTGCGGGGAATGGCATTCAGGGGTTTATGTCCAAGTTAACAAATGTGCAGCTGCTATTAATAGGAATGTCTGAGAGAGACGGAAGGAGGCTGACCATAGCCAACTCTTGCAGCATCTCAGCGTCTCAGCTAATGGGGGCTAAGGGCTTGTCATCACCACAGTGACACTAGCTTGGAAAGACTCTGGAGACAGAGTTCCTTCTTGAGGGCCAAGCTGTGTGACCTTGAACGGTCTGATCATTATCTCCCATATACTTCTTCCCTGAAGTAGAGGAATGGATTATCAGGGTCCCAGCCAATCAGAAACTCAGGAGTGGGGGCGGGAAAAAGGCCTCTAAAATGTGGGCTCCTGGGTTTTACTGCAGAGCAAGAACTAGTGTCTCTGAGGTGGAGCCCAAGGATGTATTTTGTCTTATTATTTGTTTGTGATGTGGCTGTGTTATATACCCAAGGCAGGCCTCAAACTTTCAGTTTTTCTTTTTTGTTTGTTTGTTTGTCAGTCTTCCAAGCGCTGGGACTGCAGGCATCCACTACACTTGGCTTACCATTTCCTTTTGAGATAGGGTCTCTCTATGGAGCTCTGGCTGGCTCTCAACTCTGCTTTGTAGACCAGGAAGTCTTAGAACACACAGAGATCCATCCACCTCCCTCCTGCGAGCTGGTGCCGAAGGTGTGTTCTGTTGTGCCTGACCTAGCATTTTTTTTTTCCTTACACATCACAGGGCTCTTGGTGGTTGGTTTTCGTTTTGAGACAAAGTCTCAGCACGTAGTCCAGGCTGGCCTTGAATTTGCTGCTATTCTCCTGCCTCCACCTCCTGATTCCTGAAATTATAAGCATGTGCCACCATGCCTGATTCTAAGGAATTTTTATGCCACCTGCTGCCAGGCTGCCAGGCAGACTATGGAGTCCAGAAGCCAGTTGAATTCTTAGAGTGCAGGACAAAGTTGTACTTTGGAGAAAGTTGTTTTGTTTGTTGGGTTTTAAAAGTCTTTAATGCACACTGAAAATTTCATGTTGCTAGTCTCTTTCTCTGGTTCGGCTCTTGGGTCCCACCTTCAGCAGGGGCACGGACGCCAGCATCTCTCACCTCACTCTCTGATTTATTATTTTATTATGGGTAGTAAATTTTCCTTATGGAAATGTATACATACATACATACATACATATATGTGTATGTATATACACACATACATGCACACACACATATATTTGTATGGCCCATATTAAGGCCTTTTGTTGGGTAAGGCAGATGTATATAGGAAGTGTGGGGCGAAAAGGAAGGAGTAGAATGTTAGGAGGTTAAGAGTTGGAGACAGAGTCACTGTTCTGAATCCTTGGCCATCATCTAGTGCTGGTTCTCACCATCTTGCCCCATTAACAGACCATCTCCACTTTGCTTTTTCCAGGTTTGATTCCATACAACTTCATCTGCGTGCAGACAGGCTCCATCCTGTCCACCCTCACTTCTCTGGATGCTCTCTTCTCCTGGGAAACTGTCCTGAAGCTGTTGGCCATTGCCCTGGTTGCTTTGGTTCCTGGAACCCTCATCAAGAAATTCAGCGGAAAGCACCTGGCCCCGAGTGACCCAAGGAGCACGCGTCACCTTGGTGGCAGGAAGGATGCGTGACACATGTGCCATGTTTACCACAGCCCTGGACTCTACTGCTGGTCTGTGTGATGGGCACGGGCCTTTATTGTCCTCACTGTGTTTTAATCACCCTCAGAAAGGTGATCTGATCGGCGTTCTAGTGTGTGCAGAGGCCTATCAGAAGGGTTCTCTGCTTGAGGGTCCAGTCCCGTTTAGCAGGGCTCTGTGAAATGGACTGCTTTCTAGAAAATCTTGTTTTGGGTCTATCCAATAATAGGGACTCCGTCTGTTGGGCTTGCCTCTTGCCAGTCCCTGAGATGTCTTGGGAGAAGATGCTGGTGGCCTTTTGGACAGGCTGTGTAACAGGTACTCCTGTTAAGTCCCCGTGCATATTAGTATCAGACAGAACTCTAGCCCGTTAGTCTCCTGAAGAGTGTCTTCTCTACTTTTTTGCTGCTGATCTACCTCTCCATAAGCCAAGGGACCCATGAGGAACTGCCTCAGACTTACACACACAGCTTGAGTGCAATGATTCCTGTAATATCTCTGTTCACACACTGGTATTTCTGTGTCTCCGCTCCTTCTGGTTGTATGTCTTGAGAGTTAAGCCGATTCAAACATGATTAAATATGAATGGAGCCAGCTTGGCATGTTCTGAATGTGTTCTGAGGAAATGCTCCCCCATCCCGAGGCCCTGCCATGCTTTGAATCAAATGGCTGGCTATGTATGTTCCACCTGGGAATCCCTTCTACCGCCTCCTGCTGGGAGAGTGGCGTCAGTACAGGAGGTTGCCAGCCGGTGATTTTTTGTTTTGCCTTTGCAAGAACAGCTGAGGAATTTGTACCTTTTAATTCTAGGAGGGAAGAGCGGTGTGAGGGTGTGAGTGCTTTGTAGTCACTCACAGCTGTCACTGTGTCTCCCAGCTGTGGCCCTGGGCTGATGGCTCTGTGGGCTTGGACCTCGTGGGGACGACTCACGACAAGGACTTGCCAGCATTGCTGCTCTCAGGCGTCACAGGTTGGGCTGGTGTGTTTGTCTCAGGTCTGGGCTCAGCCAGGACTCTTGCCAAGGCTTCAGTCGAGGCCTGATGTGCGTACTCGGGCTCCACAGTGAGACTGGATTTCCATGTCATGGTGTTTTTAAGGCTTTCATTAAAAAGAGAAATGTGTGAAAGAGGTCTTTCTAATGAGGGGTGACGTGAAAGAGACTACACTTGAAGCCGGTGGTTCCAGAGCATTTTGGAATAGAGAGGGAGAGAAGACGGGGTTTTCTCCCCCTTTGCATGTGTGTCCCCAGCGGGGTTTTGCACAAGTGTGCCTTATCATGATTGAGCTCACAGGGGAAGGGATTTCCCAAATCCATGGACATAAACGTTCTGCAGTGAAGACAGAACTTAAGAGCTGGTCTGTGCATGTTGCTGACTCAAAACTGCCTTTACCAAAGGGACCAGAATTGCCTAAAACATAATCCAAAAGACTGGTTTAGCTTCCTATTCCCAGCAGGCCTCTGACCAAATTATGCCAGCTTCCCATTTGCCTCTCTTGGCTTCTCTAAGAGTGATGTCATTGGTAACAGGACAGCTGCAGGAATGGCAGCAGATGGCTCGGGAAGAACCGGAGTGCCTGCCTAAGCCTTTATGGGAAAGCTCAAACCGCAACTTTAGTGCTTGTCCCTGAAATGTAAGAGTCCTGGCTGCAGAACCCAGCTTGCCTTTTCCCTGAAAAACCCTGGCAGGGTAGCTTGTAGGACGCCAACAGCACCTTTAGGAAAAGACAGGACCAGAACACACCAGGTAGACTTTTTGTTTAATTTCATGCATTGGTTTGTTTTCATAATCATTCTTGTTCCCATTGCTGTTCGGTACAAAGCCAGAGCCAGATCTGAAAATGACGTGGAGCCGGGGACCTGGGAGCTTCAAGGAGACAAGGGAGTTCATTTTGAGACTTTAATACTTGAAAGAAATTCATTTGCCCTGAATCAACAGGAGCTCAAATTATTGTAATAAATAATCATAGAGAGAAAGAGAGGGAGGGGTGGGGGAAGACATACATACATTAATGAAAAAAGACTCAAAAGATTTCCTCATCTGCTGGGAAGTAGGGTTCTAAGGTGAAGAGCCCCCGGGGTGATACGGTCAAGATACCTTTTCCTAATAGCTTGCACATGTGGCTGGGCCCTCTGGCTTGTGGCCATGGGAGGACTGTGGTCACTGGCCGGATACCAGTGACCTCCAGTACTGTGCAGGGGCCCTGGAGAGTAGGGCTGTGATTGTGCCGGAAGCTTCCTGATAGTGGCCTTGCCAGCTGCTGAGGATGTGGCACCTGAAATCCTGATGACATGCCTTTGCCAGGCAAGTGGCACGCCTTTGCCAGGCATGTGGCATTTACCAAAGCCTAACCCAGCTCTTTCCCTGTTTCTGAGAGCTATCCTCTTTGGCCACCTGTCCCTGAGAAACGTTCTGGGTTCCACTGGGTCCACCACTCAGCAGTCTAGTTCAGTCCATTCTTGTCTGAAGGGGCATCTGCAGTGCCAATTAAGCTATACAGAGAAGCAAACAAACGCATCCAATGGGACAGTCTGGAGGGAGGTAAGCACACTGGGACGTTTGTTCGATGACATCAGCAAAGAAAAACCTTGCTGCCTGGGAAGGCTGAACCATACTGACAGTTGAAGTCTTGACAAAGTTTCACAGCATTTTGGGAGGAAGCAAGTAACAGACTGCACACTTCAGTTCCCAGACAGGGAAGGGTGTGCTCATCCGGTACAGCTCAGTGTGGGTAGAGATGCGATTGGTGCTTAGGCAACTGGTCTGCAGTCCAAAGGGGAAGAATGATGGCAGTGGCCCTTTGTCATGACATGCCCTGTCAGCCTTGGGGACCCTAGGAGGTTACTGGTGTGGTCCTAGACTTGTCCATCAGGAACTGAGGGTCTAGACTTGTCTTTAGGGAACGGTTGTGAGTGCAGAGCTGGGTTAATAAACACTTTGCATATAACTTCCAACCAGTAATGACTGATGCTCCAGATGCTGCTGTGAGTGGCTCTGAGGCTGTAGCAAGGCTCCGCAGGGAGCAATACAGTGCTCAGTAAAAGATGCTGCCATGGGGCTTAGTGTGGAGGTGGTCCATGGTGGCATAGGGTGGTGTTTTGGTTTCTGGAGAAATAAACATGGTATATGTGATGCAGGGCAGATTTTTTTTTTTTTGAGACAGTGTCTCATCAAGTCTCTTTGACCAGCTTGAATGTAGACCAGGCTGACCTTGAAATCACAAAGTTCTACCTGTCTCTGCCTCTCCCAGAGCTAGGATTAAAGGCATACGCCACCACACCCAGCGAGAATTTTCTTTCTCTAAGAGAATTTGAGTGGGAAGCCGATCTCCAGGCCCCGCCCTATTTTGAGCTCCTGGCAGCTGACAGCTACTGGGGGAAGGAGGATCACCCCTTTCCCGTGGAAGTGGATCCCTTAGCTTCCCATGCCCCTACATGTGGATGTCCCCATATGCATGCACACATGGGCGGCACTGCTAGACTTGGCGAGTGACCAAAACAACAACCTAACCCCCACCCCCAAACAAAACCATGAAGTTGGGAGGAGGATGTTTTGCGTGGGCTACGGAGGGGGAACGGAGTGAATGTGATCATATTGCATTGTATGCAAGTATCAAATTCTCAAGGAATAAAAAAATAGGGACATTTGAGACATAAGAGCATGAGAAAAAACAGTAAATCACAGAATCAATAGGAACACGTTCCCACTGAGAAGATGTCAGTGCTACCTTGTGGGGACACTGACAACCCTGAGTTAGTGACATGGACTCCGAAGTCACCACCTCCATCGCCTGGAGTGGGTTGGGGACAGCAGAGCACAGTGGGGCCCCGAGTAAGTAGCACACAGTACCTACTCAAAATGACCTTAATTCCAGGATGAATTTGGTGGACCTAAAGGCTTAAAATACTCAGTCTTCAATCAGGCCACTCAAGACACCTTACAACATCACTTCAGTGCCCTGTGCAGGCTCTCCCACAGTCCTGCAGCTGGCTCTCAGGTGAGCTATGTTTCAAAGTGGACACAGGACTCTGTTCCTGGGCTAAGCAGTTTTTAAGAGGGATTTTTGTTCAGCGACTTGATCTAGAAGAAGGGAGAAAATCCAGTGCTTGACTGCAATGCAAAACTGGAACTCCCCTTGGTAGTCAGTCCAAGCCAGATGGCCAAAGAGTGATCGTGTTCATCCTGCACCCAGAGACGAAGCTTGAGATGGGCCTGGCAAGGCTTCTCAAAGCGCCAACGCGTGGCGGCAGCTATGGGCACTGAAGAGCTGGCTCTTACGTTCCTGGCTCTCCACTCAGAGTTCTGCTGACTACAGTGTTCTAAAGGAAACACACTCCAGTTTCCTGCTCCAGGGCAGGCTCTGCGGGGAAGGTGGGGGAAGCCTATTTTCCCCTTTAACCTTGCTTAGAACAGTAATTCTACTCAAAAGGTGTGGGTTTTACTCCTATCTTGATGGTACAGCGAAGGACTGGAGTCCACACCACACCCCTAGCATGCCTATGACAGTTAAGCCAGATAAAAGTGACCTTAGCGTGATGGATGGGGAGGACGGGAATGCAGAAAGAAGACTGATGTAGCAGGTGCGTTTCCTGGGAGGACCAGGTGCCAGACAGAAGTTGGCCTTTGTGTAAACAGCTAGTTCTGCTTTGTGTTAGACATAAAGAGTCTCAATTCCAAGGAATAAGGGACCTGAGGCTGGAGGATGAGGGAATAGTGCCTCTGATGTCATTCCCCAGCCCTGTGACCCCCAAATGCCTCCCCCTCCTAGAGCTCATGTCTATTCCAGAAGCGGATCGTGACTCGCATTACGCACTTCTCTTTGTTCTAGTCTTTCTGCTCTTCCCAATCTGTGGGGCTCAGTGGGAAGGCGATGACCCGCTTTGCTGCACTCCTGAAACTGCCTCATGAGCCTCCGCAGAGCAGAAAGGCTTTGTCTTGCTCTCTGAGCAGTAAATCTCTTTTTGCCTCTACTTCAGTGCCAGGATTTTATTTCTAAGACATTGGAGGAGAAAGTTTATAACTTTTGGGACTTTTGAACGACTTGTTCATCAACTTGGTCATCTGCCCATTCCGGAGTTTTTACAATCAGTTAAAAACAAAAGCATCACAGTGTACCCAACGTTTGTCGGGACAGAACACACCCCCTCAGAGCCTCTGCTGCATCCAGGAAGCCAGGGAAACCACCAGGGAGTGCACTGAGGAATGCCAGGCATCCCACAGGCAGCTCCATCCCCACCCCTTCACTAGGCCCACAGAAGTCCATAATAATCCATGGTTACAAGAAACAGTCATTGTGCTACATCATACGCCACACCTTCTGGTCAACAGAAAATTATGACAACATAAAGTAAAACAACAAGGATAAGAATGTCATAACTTAAGCTCTCCTGTGTAGTCCTGCTACAGTTCATACAAAATGGAATAATTTAACGAAACAATACTGCTTTCCAAGTTAAACATTTTCCTTCATCCTTCCTATGAGCTAAAAATTATAGACACTAAAATTCAAAATCAATGTCTCAACATAAAGTGTAAACAAAGGAGAGGTTAAACAGAAGGCCGGCTCTAAGTCCCCTCCTGCTTTTCATTTTTGGCTGATGCAGTCAGTGACCCCCGGCCAGGGGCACCATTTCCACTGGGGTTGGAATGTCTTAAAACCTAACATCCTTACAGGATGAAATGTCAGAATCTAGCAAGTTCAGATTTGGCAGAAGCCTGCATTGGAGACAGGAATCAGGCCACTGCACATGTACACGAATTCTAGATAAGACATCTTTAAGCCAGGCATGGTGGGGCCCACCTGTAATCCAGCCCTCAGCGGCCTGCGAGACTTTTCCTGCTTCAAGCCAATACTCCACAAATTACCTGGAGTACTTTTCACAGCCCAGGCAGGACTCTGGACACAGGAAGGATCACATGCTTTTGAGATACTAAAGTAATCCTAATTCCTGCTTAGCATCAGCTGCTCCTTCTACAAGTTTCCTAACCCCACTAAACAAAACTGCAGTGGTTCCAAATGAAAACAAACCGCATTTTACAAGAAGCATTTAACAAAACGTGGCGAGACAGGCCACCTTCCTGCAAGCTGCTTACTTTGTCTTGTATGCTACACTGATAGACAGCCACCAAAGCTAAAGTAAGATCAAGAACAAGAATAAAGATGGTTTGGGACTGGACACTGGACACACACGTCCTAGCTGCTGTCTGTGTGAATCAATATGATTCCAGGAGATAGACAACCTGGTCCCCTGAGGGGTTGCGCCATCTTGCTTGTATCGCTGAACACGGCCCTCCTGAAGAAGAAGTTTTGCAGGTATGTTTTCCTAATGCCACTCAGTGTCCTCCTGTCCCATTCAAGACCCCTTCCCCTTCCTGAAACAGGTGCCAACAGGTGGAAGGAAAGGAAGAAGAAATGGCACCCGAGTCTGAAAGACCACGCCGGTCGAGGTCCTGATGGTGGCAGCGTTTAAAGGCAAGCTTTTGCTAAGGGCAAGACCTGATGATACCATAACCTTTACTGCCAGATTCTGCTTAGTGTTTAAGAAGTGAAGTCGTTTCCAGATGTGCGGTTCCAGTTCTGTTTGCTTTTTCCTCTCAGAGGAAGTGCGTGCGCTCCAAGGCTTTGGGGCTATCGGATCACTCAGCTTTAGGTCATTTCCATCCGTTGCACAGACGAGCCGTTGAACTTAACATGGCTGCATTTCTTTTGGCTTGTAAATGTTCAGTGTGTCTCGTTACAACTCTTCAAGCATGGACAAAAGACCTGGTCCCGTGTTTAAGGGACAGTGACACCTCCCAGCCCCACAAACTCCAATGTTGCTCCTAAAGACCCTCTTTCCTTTCCTTTTTTTTTTGTAAAGAAATTATTGTATCTGTTATCATATATAGTTCACTCTTTACAATACAAAGTGTTAAAATGTCCAACAAAAATAAATATCAATGTTACAGTAGCTGGAGTATTCAGTACTATAGATCCCTGCCATTCTTGATTGAAATGCTCAGTGAGATGGAATTTCATTTGGGTATTTTCCCAGAGATTTGACAAATCTCATGTTTCTGTCAGTGTGGCTTGTTTCTTGGATGGGGCCACTCCTCCTGGACAAATGCAGGTGGGAGGAGTCTAGGGCTGGAGAGGATTGGAGATGCCAGCGTCCAAGTCTTCGGACGGAGAGCCTTTGTCACCAAGTAGCAGAGCTGTAGTTCTTGCTGGTCCTAACAGTGGCATCCGAACACTCCCCCTCTGAAGAGTCACAGTCCGAGTCTCCAAACTGCACAGGGTTCTGCAGAGTTTAGACAAGAGATCTTAATTCCCTCCTACCGCCCTCAGTGAGGGTCTGCTGCACACTTTCCCCTGACAGCCCTTACTTCCCTCTTCCACCCTCACTGAAGGTGAGCTGAACACTTCCTGTGTTATAGGAGCTGACCAGGACAGATGATGACACTGTTCTTGGGGGAGCTTTTGGAGAAGAGAGCTATGTAAAGTTGGTGATGCTGACTTACATCTTGTTTCCATAGCATTCCAGAGCCTTGGGTACCACTTACTCTGAGTCCTTTACATCTGCTAGTCCAGTCTATTCACAACCATCTACTCACCTACTGAAACTGGCCATTTCTCATAGATTTGATAGATATCACACACATTTTATAGGTAAGGACACTTACTTTCAGTGAGGCTAAGCAACTTGCCCAAGGTTACATGGTAGATAGAATGGCTGGGTTTTGCATCTGTCTAGGGAGTCTGAGTCCAGAGGAGAGTGAGGGCATGGAGGGAGGGACGCCCAGTTCCCTAACAGGACTGGAAGATGGGATGAACAGGGGGTGGGATTTTCAAACATTTCATGTCTCTCGCTCACTTATGAGACACTGTCCTTATTCAGAGAGCCCCACAACTACATGTTTGTATCTACATCATGGAGGCGGTGCATATTTTATCTACTGATTGAAAATTATAAAGACCCTGAGGCTTGAACCTACTTTAGTTGTTCTATCAACTTGACACAAGCTGGGGTCATTTGAGGAGAGGAAACCTCACTTGAGAAAACGCTTTCATCAGACTGGCCTATAGACAAATCTTGATGTTGCTTTCTTGAGTAACAATTGATGTGGGAGGACCCAGCCCACCGGGGGTGGTACCACTCCCTGGGCAGGTGGGCTTGGGTTGAACAAAAATAAAAAAAATACCAGCTGAGGCAGCCAGGGGAGCAAGTCAGTAGCAGCAGCCGTCTTCTACGGTGGCTGCGTCAGCTCCTGCCTCCGGGCCCCTGCTCTACTTCGGTGCCTTCTCGGCTTCTCTCAGGGATGGACTGTGAACTGTAAGCTGAAATCAACCCTTTCGTCCCCAGGTTCTTTTTGGCCATAGTGCCTATCACAGCATCAGAAAGCAAACTAGGATGCTACTCTAAACCCCAGAGAACCAGAAAGGGTGCAGTGGCGTGAGGAGGAGGGAGAGGTGCCCACCTCGTAGCCACGCTCCTCAGCACACAGCTTGCCCAGGGACATCTGTGTCTTCACGCGCCGGACCGCACACTCCTTGTCAGACAGCCCGTCTGAGTGAGAGGAGATCTCAATAGGAGCCTCAGGCGTCTGGGACAGCAGGTCGGCTAGTTTCTCAGCCAGGCGGTCCTCCCGTCTGTCAGCGGACTCATCGGGGCTGTTTGAGTGGTCACTAGTGTTCCCTTCCTCTCCGTCAGACACAGAGAAGTTCTCGGAGCTAAAGGTTGAGTATGACTGGCAGCTGCGAATACAGCGGTGGGGCCTGGAGACAGGGAAAACACTCAGACTTAACCAGAGGAGGGGTGGCTGTCTCGCCATGATGGGGAACCTGTTATCTCCTGCCCCAGAGGAAGACTAAAAGGCAACATTTACAGAAGTAGAGAGGAGCCATGAAGTGAACTGTTCCCCCCACCACATTCTCTAATTTATCCATCTCTCACGTGTGAGGACGCCGGAAGAAGGTAGCTGTCTGCGAGCAAGGAAGAAAGCCGTGACTAGGAACAGAATCATTGTCACCGCCATCTTGGATGCCCAGCTTCCACAACTGGGAGAAATACATGTTGTTTTACAAACTCCCTAGTCTGTGATATTTGGCTACAGCAGCGTGAAGAGACTAGCACAAGGAGGCCCACTAGGAACCAGCAGTCACCACAAACACGTGCCACCCCTCCCCTCTGGAGTGTGGCAGGGGATCTGTGTTCATGCTCCTCACTGTGAAGTTCTCTGGAAGTGAATCTGATGACCTGTGACCTGCTATGCAGGGCAACCATCAGACATGATGGGAAGAGGTCAGTGTTTACTTCAAACTCCCCGTAAGTTGGCTGCAGACGGGCCTCTGGCTGAGCCAGTGTGGCACACTCGGGAGCGTCCCCATGGCACTGAATACGGTCATAGCTTGTGGGGCTTTACCTCTGCCTTCGAGGTCATAGCTTGCGTGTGGGGGCTTTACCTCTGTCTTCGAGGTCATAGCTTATAGGGCTTTACCTCTGTCATAGGCTTGTGGGGGGGGGGCTTTACCTCTGTCTCCGAGGAAGCTCCACTTCGCTGTCCACTTCCCCTTCTTCTTCCGAGGAGTCATCTCCACTCTGAGGAGGACAAGGGGAGAAGACCTTAATTGACTGTGGAATCTTCCTGTTCCCCATCTCTCATTACCTCAAACAGATTTATTTTTCATTCTAAAGGGGTTTAGTGATAGCCTGCTGATGGCCTCCTCAAACATATCCATCCTCATCCTAGCAGGGTAGCACACAGCTGGAATCCTGTCACTTCGGAGGCCAAGGTAGGTGGACAGAGGGCAGCCCAGGCACAGAGTGAGTTCTGGGCCATCCTGGGCTATTTTGTCAAATGCTATCTCAAAAATATAAAAACAAACCCCCAAACTAAACAAACAACTCTCTAATACAAAGCAAAGCAGCCCAAACCACCACATCCATATGAACCCTCCATTCAGCAGCAATGTACCCCGTTTCCATGACAACAGACCCTTTACCAGGTGCTGGAAGACACATAACTTTCCCTTTGCCTTCAGGGGGGTGGAGGCCCTGTGCAGGTGACCAGAGAGGGGTGACTGAGAGGAAGCTGACAAGGTCTTGGATTTCGGATACTGTCCTCTAACATGAGTGGTTCTGGGGCCTTTCATAGGAATTCGACCTGGAAGAGGCTTTCCAGTTCTGCAAGCCCACCCAGCAAGTTCTTTCCTCTTTCATTTTGCCACTGATATTACAGCCATGTGAAGATGCACAGTGTTTGAATGTCAGTGTTAAATGTCACCCAGTGTTAAATGTAAAAATAACCTGTTTCAACTCAAGCACTCCATTGAAGGTGCAATGACATAACACCTAGTCTCACGTTTCAGTCTTAAAAAAGGCTCTTCACGCATTTTCACTGAGTCTACGTGTTGGCAGGGACCGCTGAGATGGTTGCTGGGGTCTGTGGCTGATGTAAATGAACGGGGGACAGCTAGTCTTCCCCAGAGGGAATGTCATCGGCACCAAGTGCAGAAAACCGGCCCCGGGTAAGATCAGCTGTCCGTCCCCACAGTCCCTGGGTTACGGTCTCCCGAGAGCTTAGATGGACCCAGCACTAACGGGGCTGGGGTTAGTAATCCTGATTGCCAAGACGAGCAGTTACAGCAGGAACCCCCGTGGAAACGCACCTGGGGAAGGAGAAGCTGAGCTGCTATGGGGTGTGTGGTTCTAACGAGGCTGAGGGTCCTGCATGCTCTAGGGTCTGCAGAGCTAGAGATGGCACCAAAAGACAGCAGGGCAGTTCAAAGGTGTGACATGGAGTGACAAAGAAAAGGTGTGGGTTTCTTTGGAGGTTGATGAAAATGCTTTAAAATTGGTCACTGAGATGACTACAGAACTGTGTGGGTAAAAGGCAGGTTGGCGAGATGGCTGGGGGCAAAGGCATCTGCCACCAAACAAGCCAAGCTGGCTACAGCAGTGTATGCCTATAAACCTAGCACGTAAGAGGCTGAGAAAGGAGAATTCTGAGTTTGAGACAAACTTGAGCTACACAGCTCAAGACTCTGTCCCACACACCAACCAAACCAAATCAAATCAACCAACTAGCCAACCAGCCATCCTGTCTATTCAGATGGATGGACTCCATGTTACTGGCTATGGAAGACTCTAAGTTACTGACTACAGGGACTGGGAAGGGTGCAGAATAGATTAGCTCACATCCAGTGAGCCACGTGAAAGCACACATGGACCTCTGCTCAGCCAGCAGTGGCACACCTGGAGGAAGGAACACAGTTCGGAGACAGCAGATAGTGCCAGCGTTAGCTCCTTTCCCAAGAAGTATCCAGTTGAACAAATAAACTCATCCTACACCCCCTCCTCCCCTCAGCAGTTATGACAGCTGAAGTAGCATCCAGGATTAAATGTTTACCATGTTCACAATAACTCGGTAGAGTCCTTAGCGAAGCAGGCTAACATTTAAAGCAGGCTGCATTCCAGGCGCCGTTCTAGATGCTTCCTACTTACTAATTCAAGTAGTCTTCAAGTCGGCCAGCTTGGCAGAGTCCACTATTGGGCCCTCTGCACAGACAGTGGCAGATTCACAGAGGTGCTAAGGGGACGGCCCTGGCTTTGAACTGGTGACTCCCAGGCTTAGATCTCCAACATCACGTAGGACTGTCAGACAGCCAGTGGAGGAGACAAACAGGTTTCGGGATTCAGAGCTAGCTGAGTCAGGATGACTGTTGATGTTACTTTGTAAAGAGTATTGGTGCTGAGGGGATGAAGCAGCACCAGTTTTAGAAGGCTGTGTAGCCAAACAGATGCAGGAATGCTGGGAAACAGTCACTATGTGACTTCTCCAAGACCATGTTTGCCATTATGCACTAGGAATCTCCACTCCCTAAACTTCCTTGGGACATCCCTCAAGACAGGACTTCTAGGACAATAGCTTGCAAACATTGTGACTATACGTCTTTAGTATATGGTTATCGCAGTCTCCCTGTTCCAAATCCACTCCCTAGCCCGCCACTGGAGCACTGTGGAGGGAGGAGCCTTTGAAGTAAAAGAAACACCACTTTTGGTGTCTCACCCTTTCCCAACGGCACGCCTTTTAATGCCCAGTTTTATAATGTGCACCACATGGGTGATGACATTTGATGGCAGTGACAGTCTGCTCTTGTCATCCCTTACCTTCTGGAGGGGCCGTGTCTTTTGAGGTAGTATTGGGGGTGTGTACTGATGAGAAATACCAGATTGGCAGCCATTGAATCCATTGGCCTCCATTCTCTCAGCGTCTTGGGCGTTTCCCGAAAGAGGATTGTGTGCTGGTGAACTGGAACAGTCCGGGCCGCTTCCCACTGGCTCAGTAGTGGGGACATCTAAAGACCCAGCATGCTCTGGTCTGCACTGGAGACAGGGGTCATAGGCTTCAGTCTGACAGCAGCCCCAGGGCCCAGCCTGCTCAAGTTCAGGCCCCCTCCAGCAGTCTGCCGCCATGGCTGTGGAGATGAGGTCTGGGCTGGAGCCCGGCATCTGTCTCTGTGCATGGTTGCTGAGTGGACTCCGCAGGGCTGCTGCTGGGCCAAAATACCTCAGGTTATTGGCACAGGTTGCAATGTCCTGCCCATGCATATTGAGTCTGGGGTGGTGGCTCTGAGGCAGGTCAGAAGGGGGTTGCTGGCATTGCTGCTGGAGGGAGGGGCATGGAGCCTGAGCGTGATGTAGGTAGGTGGGGTGGGATGCATTTTCCTGGGTCGGCTGGCTTTTCAAGATTGCCGCAAAGTCACCATGGCTGCCTCTACTATTCCCTCGGCGGTGACGTGGTTTGCTTCGGTATCGGCTCTTACTGCTTGACGAGGACATTTTGGGACTTCCAGACAGAGGGGACGCAGTGGGAACTACTTCTGCATTGGGGATACCTTCAGACCGTAACAGGTCTGGCCTAAGAAGAAGAACAGATTTGTGTCAAGCACATCGAAACATGTTTGGAGTAAAATGCGCCAAACTTTAAGATATACTCTTGGATTATAAGTTTGTAACTTTGTGGGTCAACTCTGGTGTCTTGTGCCTGTTAGGCAAGCACCCTCCTGCTCAGCCACATCCCTAGGCCTACACACTTTTGTTACTGTGTGTCTGTTTGTTTGAGATCAGGTTTTACTCTGTAGAGCAGGCTAGTCTCATCCTCACGGCAAATCTCCTGCTTCAGCCTCCTGAGTCCTGGAATTACTAGTGTGAGTTACCCACCTGGCTTCACACGCCCTCAGTCAGCATTTGCAGACACAGGACTGTTTCTCAGTGCACACAGGGAGCTGCTTAATGTTATAGTACAGTGAGCGCTGTTTAAAATAGCAAATCTGGGAAACAACCTAAATGTCTACTTACAGTGATTTCTTTTTAAAATTAAATTATTATTGTGAGAGGCATACATGGTGTGTACACGCACGCGGGCGCACGCATGTGTGTGTGTATGTGTGTGCGTATGCGTATGTATATGTGTGTTCCACATTGCATGTATGGAGGCCAGAGCATAGCTGTGAGGAGTTGGTTCTCTCCTTCTACCATGGGATCTGGGGATTGAACTTAGATCATCAGGTTTGTGTATTGTTATCAGCTGAGCTGTCTTACTGGCAGCTTTTATTCCTCTGGATTCTGGGTCACTAGCTTTGTCCTATGAGATTCTTAATGTCTTCCTTGTGATCTTGGCTGTCACAGGTATAGGCAGCAAGGAATGGGCATGGGAGTTTGCTCAATCAGACATCTGTCCAGTGATCTACCATAGAGGAGAGAGGTATGGCATCACTGGACAAGCCCCAGGCTCATTGGCAAGAGCTAAACAGTTCAAGGAGTTTGGTCTAGACAGGGTCTACTGGAAAGACCCAACCTTGTATACAGCAGGTACTCAATAAATCCTAAAGGCAGACAGGAAGGAGGGGACTGGGAGAGAGAAGGCCCAGGGGGTTAGGCAAAGGCAGCAAAAAAGGGTTAGTGAGAAGCCACAGTGGATTTCTACTGTTTACTCCCTCTATGAGACAGGGTCCCTAGCCCAAGCTGGCCTTGAACTTTGTTAAGGATCACCTTGAGCTCCTGCGTCTCCTCAGTGATGCAATTGAAGACACACATCACTGAGCCTGTTCATACCACACTGGGAACTGAATCTGGGCTTTGTACATGTTAAAAAGAGCACTTGACCAACTGGGCTAGACCCCAACCTAACATTCTACTTCCATCCTAATGGGAGGAGGCCTTCTTGTTCCTGTGCCTCCAGGACCAGTTGTGAAGGCTACACTCAGCCCACATGTAAACATGTGGTTTCTGAGCTGATGGATGGACTCGGACTCTCTCCCTTCTCGCCAGATAGCAGCACTCCATCTTTAGGACCAGATAGGACACAAACCAGCAGGAGGTTTTAGAGCTGGAAGGCCCACATACTCCTTTTTGAAACAGCAGAAGTACTCTCTCAGCTAATTATGAGGCACTCAGATGTGGTGGGATGAACAGGGCAGGCAGCAGCCCCCCTCTGCACAGTGCCCTAGCCCCTCCCAACTCAGTTGTAACATCTGAGACACCACTGTGCAAGCCCCAGAGCCCTGCAGCAGACACTCCTGCTGGCCAGCCTGAGCGGTGGGGAGGACCTGCATGGAAAGGGTTGGAGGGCTTCTACTGCGACAAGGGAGTCCTGCAGGGCTGGGAACAAGCTGTGGTGGCATCCAAAGGAGAGTTGAGGAGAAGTGTCCCCGGAGTGACCTTGCTCTACCATGTCAGTCACAATGTGTAATGTGTTCCCAGGCTCTCTCTGTTACCAGCCACTTCATAGCTGTGTTCACTATCACAGGGGTTGACTTGTCATCACAAAGAGGAACTGATTCTTTGACCCCGACGACCTTTACTCCAGGGCACAGCTCTTTCCCACATCAGGCTTCTCTTTTAGATGGACTTCTATGCCCTTCCAGAAAACAGGCCTACCATGAAAGTACGATGGCGGATTGCGGTTGTCAGTTTGACACATCGTCCCAAGAGGGACCCTTAACTGAAGAATTACCTCCATCAGAGTTGCCCCATAAGCTCGAGGAAATAAGTTTGATTTCCAGCACCCATGTTTAAAAAGAAGTCAGGTGTAGTGGCATGGTCTTGTAACCCCAGCTTGGGGATAAGGCTGAGTCAGGGGAGAGGGAGGCAGTGATAGGTAGATTCCTGGGATCCACTGATCAGACAGCCTAGCCTCCTTAGTGAACTCTAGGCCGTGTGAGACCCTGTCTCAAAAGAACAACGTGCATGTCATCTGAGGAACAACAGTCAAGAATGACCTCTCTCCATATGTACATACATACATACATGTGCACCTGTACACATGTGCTCACCTATGCACACACATACACACACTGAAAAAAACAGCAGCTCATACCCTTAATCACCAAGGAAATGCAAACTAAAACTACTCTGAAATTCCTTCTCACCTCGGTGACTGTCACTAAGAAAACAAATGACAACAAACGCTGGCTCGGACATGGAGGAAGGAACGTAGGCACGCTTCAGGGGAGTGTAAACTGGTACAGCCACTATGGAGATCAAGAGGTTCCTCCAACAGCTAGAACTAGAATCACCATCTGACCTAGTTTTACCACTCTTGTTAATGCACCCAAAGGACTGCGTGCCCTGCTCCAGAGAGACATGCACACGCATTTATTGCGGCTCGACTCACAACAGACAGGAAATGAAAGCAGACTACCTATACATCAATGGAAGAGAGGATGGTGGAAATGAGGTTCATATGCACAGTGGAATTTTATTCAGCTGCAAAGATAAATGACATTATGAAAAATCCATGGAAATGGGTGGATCTGAAAAATGTTATATTAAACGAGGTAACCTGGACTCTCCATGTTCTCTGTCATATGTGGATCCCAGCTTCAAATGTAGATACATGTATTTATGTGAGTGAGCATGTGTGGAGGAGACTAGAAAGGGGCCAGTGGGAGAGCTACAGAATCCCTCTAATCTGGGTGTGGAGGAGAGAATACTAGGGGGAGATGGGCTCAAGCAGGGCTGGGAGCATGGAGATGGGAGGTAGGGAAGGGGGAGAGAAGACACGGAGGGTCAACCAAATCTAAGTGTGTATGAAGATGCCCTAAAAACCTGCTACTTCTAAGTTAATAAAAGTTTAAAAGATAAAATACATTCTTGGCTTGTGTTTCTCCTTTCTGTTTTCTTACTGCATTTGGCTTGAGTCTTACAAGCCCAGGACATTCTCTCCTTTATAGTAGCCTGACCGGAGGGAGCCAGTTCTCTGGCAAGTGAGAATGATAAGGCTCCACAGCATTTGGTAATTCTAGAAAGGAATGAAGAAGCATCCTAAGATGTTTCGGAGGTGCTAGGCATTGAACTTGGGGCCCCCTGCAGCTAAACACATACTCTACACAGAGATGTAGCTCTGCTTTCTAATACTGAGATTAAATCAACATAAAGCAAGCGTTATGAAAAGGGAAAGAAGTTGGGCATGGTGGTGCACGCCTTTAGTCCCAGCACTCAGAAGGCAGAGGCAGGTGATCTCTGAGTTCGAGGCCAGCCTGATCTACAGAGTGAGTTTCAGGACAGCCAGGGCTACACAGAGAAACTCTGTCTTGAAAAATCAAAACATAAAAATAAATGGGAAAGAATCATCTCCTAAAAATTAAACCGTGCTTTTTGGACACTAATGCCCCATAGGTGATTTCACACTAATCAACTTTCGCAGTGGGATGTGAGGGCACATTCTTGTTTCCCTGGCTACTTAAGAGATTGAGGCAGGAGGAAACTGAGTTTGAGGCCAGCCTGAGCAACTGCCCAACAAGCAAACTAACAAAACCAAATAAAACAAAACTCATAAAAATTCCATCTAAAGGTAGAGTACAGGGAACCTCTTGGCTTGGTATGCATAATTATCAATGTCCTGTTTTTATTATTGGTGGTCAGTTATACATTATTAAGAAGAACTAAGTAAATATATTGATAAATTATGCACAGATCACTGTGTCAAAAATCAAGAATTACAATTAACTCAGTTCTGTTTCTAAGGGTTATAAGAATAAAAAGAAATCCCAAGCCAGGCAGTGGTGCCTTTAATCCCAGCATTCAGGAGGCAGAGGCAGGTGAGTCTCTGTGAGTTTGAGGCCAGCCTGGTGTACAGAGTGAGTTCCAGGACAGGCTCTAAAGCTATACATAGAAACCCTGTCTCAAAAAACCAAACCAAACCAAACCAAAAAAAAAAACAAAAAACAAAACAAAACAAAAAAACCAGAGAGAGAGAGAGAGAGAGAGAGAGAGAGAGAGAGAGAGAGAGAAATCCCATGTGCCATAACGATACCGTTTACCCATGAGGATACTGGAGCTGAAAGAAGCCAAGCAACATGGTTCAAGTCACACACCTATAAAGCAGGCCTGCAGTTCCAAACAGATCTGACTGTCCCTGCTGTACACGTCCTTGTCCTGTGTTTGGTACTAAGACAGAGGGTCTCATCTTCCTACTTGACCTTACCTGCAGCCATGCACTGCTAGAAAGCCCCAGAAAGGCCACATCTGGACATCTGAGACTGCCCTTTTCCAGGCCTCCCTCCTCCCCCTGTTTATCTAAGCATCAGCTACAGGAATACCGTTGTCTCACCTCTTAGTCTGCACTCCAGCCTTGTGAGGCACACCCTTCCTTTTCATGAGCTTCTCCATGGCATTCGGGTGGATTATTGGACGGACAGGGTGCCGCTTGTAGGTCCCAGGATACTTCTTTTCCACTGCTTGCTCTCGCCTGTGGGACAAAGGACAAAGCCACTCTTGGGTTTTGGTAGACAGAAAGTCAGGACAGAGATGTTCTAAGGTGGTGACCATGGAACCAGAAGACACCCTCCTAATTCCCTACCTACAGAAGAGGAACCATGCGGTAGTGATGCACACACATGCTGAACCACGCGGCAAAGAGACACACACAGCTGAACCGTGCATCAGAGTGACACACACATGCTGAACCGTGCGGCAGAGTGACACACATGCTGAACTGTGTGATAGTGACACACACACGCTAGTCCTGTATGTGGTCCCGTCTCAGACCTGCAGCAGCTCTGCTAACTTGTGTGCCTCACCCTGGTAGGGACTGAGGACAGGAAGTCCCTGAGGAATGCTGATGGAATAACTAAAATATCCACATGGTCACCAGGGCAGCACCATGCAAAGCAGCATGTCCTGCAGATGCAGACGGACTCAGAGCAGCGAGGGCTGGGACCGGCTGGGATACCTACTTCAGGAGCTCCTTCTCCCGCATCTCCAGCTGCAGCATGATGGCGCTCAGCTCCATGTACAGATTGTTGGCCCGTTCGAGCTTTCGTTCGTAGTGTTCTCGAATATCCAGCGCATGTCTGTTGGTGAAAACACAGGATGAGCAAGGCTAAGGAGAACGGAAGTCAGCGCTAATGAAGCACGCATGGTGGCTTACTTCAATGCACCAGCCCCAGGGGTTTCCATTTTTAAACGTTTCTTAACACAAGGATTCAGACAAGGAGTGGGGATAGGAAATCTGGGCTGTGTGTTTGATTCGAAGGGCCCCTCCAGCCACACGGGCCACAGACAAAGTAAGAATACAGTCTTCATTTGTGCTCACGGCACAATCTTAGCACAATACAGCAGATTCACATATTAATGGGCATAACTTAATTAGTCAAACTCAGGTCCTCATACTCTATGATCACGTGCCTATCCATGGCACAGGTCTTATCTGGGCTGGTGTGGTTGCAGTGCTTCCCCCAGATTCAACTGTAAACCTTCACCCATAAGGTGATGGTCCTGGATGTAGCGGCAGGGTGGTAGCAGAGGAATCCTTTTGTTTCTCCACCGTGTGAGGACACACACGGGGTGCCATGATATGAAGAACGGGTCTTCACCAGCTACTGAATTCCCTGGTGCTCCGCCTCCAGAACCATATTCATAAATTGCTAAGTCTAAGGCATTTTGTTCCAGAGGCCTAACTGCCTAATACTGTGCTTATGTTGAGGCCGGAAACAGAGTCTGTAAATTCCTGGCTCCAGTGGCACTGAGAACCGTGGATAGTGCTCTAAGGGTCCGTGCTCAGAGGACCATAAAGGAGGAAACAAGTGAGAGGAGCGGGTAAAAAAATAAGTGAAGAAGTGTGTGCATGGGTATACACATGTTGAAGGTGGCTGTGTGTGCATGGGTATACACATGTTGAAGGTGGCTGTGTCCGTGGGTGTGCACATGTTGAAGGT